TGATACGTCATTCTGCAGCAGCGTCATTCTCATGTCATGATTATGGCGATGCCCTCTACTATATGAAACTCCTTTTTGTTGCATACGCGTCACTTCCACGAGGTGTTGGTGTCACAGGAGGAAGGGACCATAGCGGAGGATAGAAAGCTTGCGCAGGAAAGGAAGGTCCCGGCGGTTGACGGGGGACTAATCTGGTACTACAAATCACTAACATACCTTATTTTGTTCAACAATTTCCTCCTCTAATAATTTACCTTCCGTTCTTTGTTGTTTCAGTAGGACAGCACACGGTGAATCTTTGGGAAGTTTTGTGGCTTTGTCATCTTTGAGAAACAAGAGCAGCTACCTGCTATGTATAGCGATTTTCTGGATTCGTTTTCGGAAAAAGAGCTTCATTCTCCATGACCCCTGTCATCCCCTCTCAAAAATGAGGAAAATTGTGAGAGTTGTGGAAACGGGCCAGCTTTGGAAGTAATGTGGAAGCAATTAGCTTTGTGGGTACGGTCCTTGGATGGCGCAGTCGCATTCGCCATCTAATGAATCTAACTATATCAAGGCAAAGCCAGCACAAAAACTGCCAGCCGCATTCATTTAGAGCCAAGTGCCCTTCGCATTTTCTAAGGTTTAAATGGATTTGGACTATTTGATTATGGAGAGCTTCAGCAGCAGCATATTTTCAGTCTTTTGGGAGAGTTGTGCTGTTACAGGGCTTCAGCCAACCAAAGAGCAGGAGCATAGGGGGGAGAGCGGGCGCTTCGTTCAGTGCAAAGCTATGCCTTTCAAAGGCCTTCAGCAAAGAAAGTGAGGATGCTGCAGTAGTATGCATGTGAGAGAAGCTCTTAGACGCCTGTTCTGCATCACAATTCGCTGCCATGTGAATGCTCGTGGACTTATCCGCAACCGTGATCACTACGCCTGAAGCCTTCTTACACAGTTCGAACAAGATTGAGAGCAACTGATTAGAGGACTTTTACCTCCGAGTCAAAATAGAAATTTTGGACAGGGGAGGTAGTAGCTGGTACTTTTTGGTTTCAATTCGGTGGCACACACAAGTTAGAAATTTTTGTTGTTAGGGCGGAAGTGGTGTAGTGGCAAGTGGCGCTGCTATCCACGCGAGCGGTCCTGGGATCGAAATCCTGGGTCGTGAGTCGTCCAGGGCCAACCAAGCCTTCCATCCTCCGGGGTTGCCTGTCTGGTAGGATAAAAACACTGACTTGTACATCGGCTAGCCGATGTACAA